AGAAACAAATTGGGTGACATTACAACAGAACCAACACTGAAATTAAAAAAAAAAAAAAGATAATATGATACTATGAAGAAATGTACTCCAACAAATTTGAAAATCTGGAAGAAATGCACAGATTCTTAGAAACACACAACTTACATAAACTAACAGACTGAGGTGGAAAGGTTGAATAAACCCATAATAAAAGAATAAATTGAACAGTTCATAAAAAAATTACCAATAAAAAGAAGTCCTGGCCCAGATGGTTTCACAGGAGAATTATACCAAACATTCAGAGAAGAACTGTCACTTATCCTACTCAAAATATTCCAAAACACAGAAAAGGATGGAATCCTCCCAAATTCATTTTATGAAGCAAGCATATGTTGTTGTTGTTGTTATGTGCCGTTGAGTCGGCCCCGACTCATAGCGATCCCTCCTTGGGTTTCTGAGGCAGTATCACTATGGAAGTAGGATTGCCCAACCTTCCTTCCGAGGAGTGGCTGGTGGGTTTGAACCGCCAGCAGTCTGGTTAGCAGGCAGGTGACTTAGCCACTATGCTACCAGAGCTCCTGAAGCAAGCGTATACTTGATACCAAATCAAGCAAAGGCATCACTCAAAAAGAAAACTGCAGACCAATATCCCTCATGAATATAGATGCAACAGTCTTCAACAAAACCCTAGCCAATAGACTCCAACAACATGTACCCAAAATAATACTTATGACCAAGTGGGGTTCACACCAGGTATGCGAGGATAGTTTGACATTAGAAAAACTGTCAGTGTCATCCATGACATAAATGACAAAGGAAAAGGACCACATAATCTATCAATCGATGCAGAAAAGGCATTTGATAAAATCCAACATGCATTCCTAATCAAAATTATCACCAAAATAGGAATAGAAGGGACATTCTTCAACCTAATAAGGGCTTATATGCAAAAGCAACAGCCACCATTATTCTCAATAGAGAGAGACTGAAACCATTTCCCCTGAGTACAGGAACAAGACAAGGATGCCCTGTATCACCACTTCTATTCAACATTGTATTGGAAGTCCTAGCCAGGGCAATAAGGCAAGGAAGGGAAATCAAAGGATCAAAGACATCTAAATTGGTAAGGAAGAAATCATACTGTCCCTATTTGCTGATGATACAATCCTATACATAGAAAACCCAAGAGACTCAGCA